CTCATTAAGCTCATACACTGTCAGCTGCAGGGATTTGGCAGAGACTGGTGGCTGTATGGGGCAGGTTGGTTGTCAGTACTGGGTCTCAGTTTGATATGTGACTTTTTGATGTTTCTTTACATTACAAAGTTGTATGACATGTCACCCTTTTTTATTCAATTCAGTTTTATTTGTATAGTGCTTTTTCACAACATTACATTGTCTCACAGCAATTTGCATTATCCCTGCCCAAAGCCCCCAGTAGGTAAGACAGAGGTGACAGTGGCAAGAAAAACTCCCTAGAAAGAAGGAACCTTGGGAGGAACCAGACTCAAAGGGGGGCCCATTCTCCTGGGGCCGGCAGAGGAAGTCAAAGTCACATGAGCAAGATGGCAAAAGTCTCAATTCACACTATTCAAATTTTAAGATTTATGTTTCAAAGCGGGGGCCAGGCAGGTGATGGCAGGTGCATGCACTGCTTCTGATGGCAGGATGAACAGTGTACAGCAGTAGGACATACAGGAGAGACGTCACAGGCAGAAGGGTGAGCAGGCTGGACAGACGCCACATGTAGTGGAGATGATGCAGGCAGTAGGGCAGGCAGAATATCTTTGATATTTTGGGGTCTCTAGGCAGTACACCGTAGGAAGAGTAGGGGAAATAAAATGTGCAATTAGCCAAAGTAGGGGAGACTAGAGGCAGTGCAAATAGTTAGGTGAGTGCAGTATGTAAGCTCCGGCAGATATGGCTATGGCAGTATAAGTAGGAGGGAGAGGCAGATGGGAATGCAAGCAATTCCACAAGGGGGTGTGAAGCTAGAGTGACAGCACTGACAATTCACTTCAACCAATGCCAATGGCATCGATCCCCACCCAGATCTACATCTCACACTACAGGTCTAACTGGGGGTGAACAGTTAGCTAGAGCTAGTATTAGAGTCCCTATAAGCTAAACCAGGGGTGGCCAATCATATCCACAAAGGGCCGGTGTGTATGCAGGTTTTCGCTGCAACTCCCTAATTAGATTACTAATTAGAAGACTGATTGGCTGAAGAGTCCTCACACCTGGGTTTGAACAGCTGACCTACAGGTTATCCCAAAAACCTGCACACACACCGGCCCTTTGCGGATAAGATTGGCTACCCCTGAGCTAAACTAAACAAGTGTGTTTTTTAGTCCAGACTTGAATATTGAGAGTGAGCCTGAGTCTCGCAAATCCGCTGGATGACAGCTGTGGAGCTCTATAAGAGAATGCTCTGCAGCCTGCCGTAAGTCTTTTCTACTCTAGGTACTAATAGATATACTGTGTCTTGAGATTGAAGCAAGTCAGGAGGGTTGTAGGAGACAAGTAGATCCCCAGTGGTATTCTGGTGCAAGGCCATACAGTGCTTTATAAGTTAACAGCAGTATTTTGTAGTCAAGCCAAGACTGGAAGCCAGTGAATGGAGCATAGAACTCTGGCTGCTGCATTTTGTACTAGCTGAAGTTAATGTAAGGATCTGGTTGGGCGACCAGAAAAGAGGGCATTACAGTAGTCCAGTAAGGCAGGTATAAAGGCTTGTATTAGTTTTTCTTCATCATGAAATGAGAGCATCCTCCAAAGCTTGGCTATGTTCTGTAGATGGTAGAACACAGTAATTGTATTGTAATGCTTCTCATGTGAGCATCGAAACCTAGATCTGAATCTACCAGGACACCAGATCTCTGACCACTGTTCAAGATTTGGTTTCTTTAGAACAGGTTTAATAACAGCTATTTTAAAATGTTTTGGAACATATCCTAAGAGACGAGTTTAACACGTTTAACAGGGTAGCCTTCTGCACTACCCTGCAATTGGTGCAATTACCTTGAGGAGTTTCGTAGGAATTGGGTCTACAAGACTAGTAGAAGGTTTCCAGGAGATTTGCTCGATTCAAGCCTGAAATGGTTCCTACAAACCAGCTGTTATCTTCTCTTCTGGTTCATACTCACTGTGAATGAGCCCACAGCCTCTCTCAGCTCCTGCAGCTCCTTCTCTCTCATCTGAATTGTCTGCTGAAATTTCCTCTGTGTTTCACCCATTTGTTTCTACACAAGGGAAAAAAAGATGGTAAAACAAGTTTTTTCATGATCTGAGATCATATTCTTTAATCCTCCTGTCGAGGGTGGACCCCAGCCTTGTGCCCTATGCTGCCTGGAAAAGGCTCCAGGCACTCTCTGTGACCCTGACCCAGATAACTGGGTAGGAAATGGGTGGATGGATGGATGGATAGATATACTTAAATTATTTATTGACTGTAGGTAGCATAAACTTGAAGAAGTCCATCTGACATATTCCCAGTGAAGGAAGTGAAAAGAGTTCTCATGGTAAACCTGAAGTTCCCTTTCTGTAGAAAATACATATGCTTAGCTGCCACTTTATTAGGTACAACCAGTTACTACCAGGTAGGACCCACTTTGCCTCCAGAACCATTTAAAGTGCAGATTAGATCTGTGTTCAGAGAGGCCATATTGTACACCACTGTACTTAGCTGTTATTGCTGCACGTGACCTTCCTGTTAGCTTTAACAAGTCTGGTCATTGTCCCCTGGCCTTTCTTATTACCAAGGTGGTTTTGCCCACAGAACTACCACAGTCTGGGTGTTTTATGTTTACTGCACAGTGCTCAGTGAACTCTACACTCTGTAGTGTGGGAAATCCCGGGATGGTGGCTGTTTCTGAGGTGCTGGAACCACCATGCTTAGGACCAACAATCATACCATATTCAAAACCTCTTAGCTCACACATCTTAGCCATTCAAATTCATCTTTGAAAGTTTCCAATGGTAATTGGTTCAGAACTTTTAACAATCTAAACATCTTGACACAGGTTTGCCCCATTGAGAACACAGCTACTGATCAAAGTGAAGGTGCTAAAATTTCTCTTCATTCAGTTATAGGACATTTTCAGAGCATATTCCTTTCATCCAATTAACCAGGCTTAATCACAATCTCTCTCTCTTCAATGAAAACTTATTTACATGTGACAAAAATCATTTTTACTTTATAAAAATTCATAATTTATATAAGACCGTTTCTGGCCTGACCTGTATCTCCGCCTTTCCTGCAGCAGCTGAGACTGTATCATGGCCTCTGTGTTCTTCCGTCACACACAGCAGACAGATACACTGCTGGTCGGTACGGCAGTAGACCTCCAGGGGTTTGTCATGGCGGGAACAGACCTTGTCCTTCAGATGGCTGATGGCATCAATGAGCTTGTGCTGTTTTGCATGATGGAGTTTATTGTGAAGCTGCAGGTCAGTTTCACAGTAGGAGGCCAGACACACCAGGCAGGACTTGACAGCTTTGTGTTTTCTCCCAGTACAGACGTCACATTCTACCTCTTCAGGATACTGGACAGCAGGAGTAGCTGCTTGTAGTCCAGTCTTCTTCAGTTTCTCCACCATTTCAGCCAGTATGGTGTTTCTGCCCAGAACAGGTCTGGGTGTGAAGGTCTGTCTGCACTGGGGGCAGCTGTAAACTCCAGCATGATCCTCCTGGTCCCAGCAGCTCTTAATGCAGCTCATACAGTAACTGTGTCCACAGGGAATAGCCACTGGATCCTTCAGTAGATCCAGACAGATTGCACAGTTGAACTCATTTACATCCACTGCAACTCTTGCTTCTGCCATTTTACCACAAACACCGATAGGATTCCTTTTCGTTTTCTCTCACAGTTGTCTGTGTATGAGAGTGGGAGGAACCACAACTGCAAAGGTGTGGTTTTGGACTGAGGCCAGACTGAGAAGAGCAGACTGGGCAAACAGTGCAGCTGGAGTTTATGAATAAAATAGTTAATCATACAACTATACACACAGCAAATATTTATTTAGCCTTAATGAGGGTAACAGTTACTTGCATTGTCTTTTGCCCAAACCAGCTCTATTCCTACAATCTGATACCATAAATAAATTAGCGGGAGGCTTGTTGCCGCAGTTGTCAGCACTGGTTCCCCACACCTCTGGGACCAGGGTTCGAGTCCCTACTACGGCTCTATGGCTGT